CTCAGCAACGACCACGGCCCCAGTCCCTGCCCAGGCCCTTGCCTGCCCTCTACCTCACTTCCCGCTCCCTCCTGCGAGCTGACCCCTGCCAGGCCCCAGACCACTGCCCGCAGGAAGCCCTTCCCAGCGCTCCCCTCCAGGTGTCTCAGGTCTTTGTTTAAATCTCATCTTTGCAGAGAGGCCCTTCCAGAGCCCGTCCAGAGGGCCCGTGGTCCTCCCTATCACCCTCACTACAGCCCTGTCACCCTGCACCCTTCCTTTCATGATGGGTATGTCTGTGCATGCCATCTCCCCCACCAGCAGGTAACATTCTCTGAGGACAGGGGTCATATCCTTCTCTCCAATGAGGCCCTAGTGTCTAGGACAGGGCAGGGTTAGACAGTACAGGCTCCAGAACAATCTATGGGCTGGCTGAGCAAATGAACAAACATAGGCAAAACTAAAAAGAAACTAAAGACTCAAATGCAGTAAAATGATTCAAAACATTCATATATTTAAGGAGCCCTAACAAGTGATCATGACCCCATCCAACAGCCCCTGTGCCGTGTCGCTTGCTTCCTCCAGATGGAAGGTCTTTCTCAGGCTGCTCACGTGGGAAGCTCCTCTTAACTTCTCAAAGCTCCCATTCAGTTCTGTTAACTCTCTGGAGACTTTTCTGACTTCCCAGCCAGCATGAACCCATTAAGGTAAGATTTCCAACAACACCATGGATCTCTCCCCAAACTTCCTGGTCTAATCACAGAAATACATCCATAAACACATCAAACATGGCAATAACTGCTAGAATACATATATCACCAAAATTATTTTGAAACATATGGCGGAAGCTGAAAACAAGAAAGGGAAATGCACAGGTGCTAGAGGCGTGGAGGGAACAGACGAGGGAACAGACTGTGGTGCAGTGGGAATGTGAGCTGTCACCACGAGAGCCCGGGGAGTGCATGAGACCTGGACAGAGCAGCCTGTGCAACAGGAAGCCTTGGGATCTCATGCTGGAGCTAGGAGGCTGGGGTTTCCTGCCCAGTGGGGCACAGGGGGCCTGGGCAATGCGAGACCAGGAGAACTGGCACGTCAGAGAGTGAGTGAACCAAAATAGATTCTGGGGAAAGAGTCAGAACGGAGCCCAGACAGATTGTCTAGGAGACGAGGGTAAAAGAGAAGGAGGAGATTCAACGAACATGTAATAAGACTTCGAGAAGAAAAGACCAGTGAGAATGGGGTAGAGACAATATTCAAAGAATAGCCGCTGTGAATGTTCTAGAATTCATGAAAAGTACTAATCCTCACCATGAGACAGCATGTGGCTGGGAAGGTTAAATAAACAGACATCTCATAGCAAGGTGCACCATGGGGAAACTGTAAAGCAACACAAAATAGAGGGAAAATCTTGAAGGCAACCAGAAAGGAGGAAAAACAGATCACCTAGAAAGTACTGGTAATTAAACAGCAGACTCTCAACAGCAACACTGGAGGCCGGAGGACCGGGAAGAACGCCTCCGGAGCACTAGGAGAGAATAGCTCTCAGACAAGGATTGTATTCCCTGCGAAATCTTCATTAAAGAATAAGTGGAAAATAGACATTTTAGAAAACAAGACTGAAACCACCACTCACAGCGCCTCACTTAAGGACGGCTACAGGATATACTTCGGGAAATTGAATTCTGAAAGAGGGGTGAGATTTAAGAGGCAGTGATGGCAAACAGACTGGTAAACATGGGAAAACCTGAACAAACATGACTGTATAAAAAATACAACAGTAATGACTAATTTGGGTATTGTCAAAACAAGGCTACATCAAAACATTGGCCATTGGTAACATGTAAGTTGAAGCTGCTCGTTTTATTCAGGATGGTAGAACTACTGTGAACTTTAGGCTTTATAAGTCGAGAACACATGTTAAAAATGTACGGGTAATAGAAATAAAAGTATGAGATAGAAATAGAAAAAAAGTATGAGAAGGAAAAGTCAGACAGAGCCAAACACGATGGAGGAGAGAAAGAAAAAGACAGAGCCGAGAAATCAGAGACGGTTAACAATACGGTGGTAGAGGGGGAAAAAATCCATGCCCGTCACAATAAATGGAAACAGGCTACATTTCCTGCTAAAGAGGCCAAGATGTACATTTTGGAATTTTTAAAATACAGATATGCTGTTTTACAAGAAACACACTTAAAATATAAAGAGTGACAAGAAAAGAGGGAGTAAAGATATACCGTATTAGTAAAGTATTAGACAAATACTAATCCAAAGAAAACTGTTACGGGTATTTTAGTATCAGATAAGATAGACCATGAAAGCCAGTATCAGGGATAGAAAGGTTACTACATAATTAAAAAGGGAACACGTGATCAGGAACACAGAGCAAACCCTTACTGGCAGATATGTGCACCAGAAAACAAACTTAATTTATAATTCAAAATATCAGAACTTGGGGGCGCCTGGGGGGCTCAGTTCGTTAAGCGTCCAACTTCAGCTCAGGTCATGATCTCACAGTTCATGGGTTCAAGCCCCACATTGAGCTCTGTGCTGACAGCTCAGAGCCTAGAGCCTGCTTCAGATTCTGCGTCTCCCTCCCTCTGCTCCTCCCCCACTCACACTCTGTCTCTGTCTCTCAAAAATGAATAATGAACATTACAAAAAATTCAAAATATCAGTACTTGGGTATTCACCTCGCTGTTGTTCCCTTGTTCCCAGTTCTACTGGGAATTCTGGGTGAACATGACAGAGGGCACGAGTCAGAAATCCCTGGGTCCCTGGTCAGAACATGTTGTCACAACAGTGCGGACTCTGGCTGCCCTTAGCATCCTGACAAGTATACTCTGCACGCCCACTGTGGTCTTCATAGCTGCCATTCCGCTGGTGAGCCCCACTGCTGTGGGGCTATTTGTTATTTATTTCTGCATTCTTAGCACCTCCCACAATGTCTGGCAGAGAAAGGGACTCAATATGCATCCATTAAAATTATAAGTTGGAAGACTATGAACCCAATAGGATGAGTGTCTATACTAGGTATTCCTATTTGAAAAGCACGATGTAAAACTATAGAAGTACTTTCATTACAAACACGTAAAAATTATATATGTACGCAGATACAGGTGAAGGGATTGTGGAAACATGAACACAGTAAATCTGTTATAGAAGGTGGATTGTGACTTTTTGCTTTTTATTTTTATTATGGCTATTAAATTATGACTTGTGTAATTTTGAAAATGAAATAAAAAGAAATTACTATGTGACTTTAGTTATTCAATGAAGCAATTCCTATAAATTGTCACCATGGACACGCAGAAAAAAACAGCTGTCTTCTGAGCCATAGAGATACTCACTCCTAGGGCCAAACCTTGCCTTTTACTCTAGAAGCCATGGTGGCAATTCACGGGGATCATCTCCGAGAAGGAAAGAGGAGGCTGTGGAGAAGGGATCTAGCTGGCCTCGCTTAATTCTATTTTTCCCTTCTTCTCTCTTAACTCTCCTTTCTGGTCTCTCGAGGTGTCCACCAATTATCCTGGTCCTTAGAGAAATGGCTGATTCCAGGTTGGGAGCAAGAGAGGTCCCAGAAGAGCCAGCAGTATGTTGTCATATCAGAAAGGAAGAGAGCTATCGGGAACGATCAGGGTCACACCGACAGGTCTCAGGAGCCAATTGAGGAGGTCCCACTGGCCAAGATGGAACAGACTGAGTAGCTGTGAGACGAGTGGTGACTTGAAACACATCAAATATGTTTACATTTGTGAGTTTGTGATAACTTAAGAAAAACCACTCATAGCTCACTTATGGAGTATGCTAAGGAAACAATTCATTATTTTGGAAGGTAGTAAGTGAAGGGAAAGGACCAAGGACATTGTGCCTTTCTTAGACTGTGTCTCACTGTCACCAAGTAGTTGAAGAGGGAAAGCTTTCATTACAGAAGAACTCCAACCAATAAAAGAAGAAAGGATAGATGTGAAATATCACTGCCTTATAATCCGTGAATTCGTGGGTAGAAGTGCTTTCAACCACGGCTGCTAACACCACGAAAAGAGAGACAACCAGTCCACATAGGCTTGCCACGACCTGTGAAGTATTCTTGCTGGAACAAGTGAAGATTTATCTGTATGTCTGTCCATTTAGGGACAGGGCAGGCTGGGAGAGGGAGACAGGAGAATGTGTTAAATGTCACTGTAGATCAGTCAGATGTCGGTTGCAAGAAATTCCACATAATAAACAATCCAGACGTCTACAAATGCGTCGTAAGGGAACAAATTAACAAATGGACAGAGACCCTGCAGATCAAAAAAAGAACTGTGGCAAATCAATCTATTGTAATGTACAGACCTCATTTGGATCCTGACTCAAACTGTAAAAGAAAATCTGGATTTTGAACCCTGGCTGGATATTGATTACTATTACTGATAATTCTAATTAGGTGTGAAACCAGTATTTCCACCATGGTCTTAAAAAGACTTCTTGGGGTGCCTGGGTGGCTCAGTTGGTTCAGCGTCTGACTTTGGCTCAGGTTATGATCCCATGGTTTGAGAGTTTGAGCCCCACGTCAGGCACTGTGCTAACAGCTCAGAGCCTGGAGCTCGTTTCAGATTCTGTGGTTCCCTCTCTTTCTGCCCCTTCCCGCTCATACTCTCTCCCTCTCTCAAAAAGAAAACATTAAAAAAAAATTTTAAGACTTCTTATCTTTTAGAAAGACATAGTGAGATCTTTTCAATGAAAGATGATGTCTGGTATTCGTTTCAAAAATATCTGGGGTTAAGGAAAAATGGGCAAGAAGATAAATGATTGACCATGAGTTGAATGCTGAAGCTGAGTACACTAGTGGCTTCATTATATTATTCTCCTTACTTTTGCATGTGTTTGAAATTTTCACTAAAAAAAAAAAAAAGTAGAAGACATTGATAAAAAATAAATGAAGCTGTGCTGTATTCTCCTGGCTGACGTTTTGCGGTGGGGCGGGGGGGGGGATGGGGGGTGGGGAGGGAGGAGTGTCAAGGAAACAATGGAACTCTTACCTCTTCATTAACTGGATAAAAGTCCTCCTCGGTAATCGGTATACAAAGGTGTCAAAGACGATCTTTAGGTAATTCAAAGACACATAGCCAGTTTGAGAGGGGTCCCCTGCACTCAGGGCTTTTTCAACCTTTCCATAGGACTTGGAAAGCTGCAGGGAATAAAAATTCGAGCGTTGCATTCACAGAAATCCACTTCACAGCGTTATTCCACCAGCTTATTTTTACCAAGACCTCGTCACATGTTCCCCCTCCAAAAACTGATCAAAAAGGTTATGATGGCATGTACGGAACTTTAAATGTTTAATTGATGAGCTCGCTACAGAACGCTATCCCCAGTCACTGCTACTCAACTGACAGGGTAGACAAGTTTCTCTGGGAAGAACAGCACATATAATAGATCCACCTCAAATTTCAGAGCTAAAAGTATTCGGTGGCTCTGCCAGTTTGATGCATCTTTCTTAATATACTTTCAAGCCTTTCCTACCGCGAGCCCATGCTAGGCTTCTCCTGATTAAATCAGGTCAATCAAACAAGAAAGGCAGCAACATTTTATTAAAAACAGAAGTAGTTTTTTAGAGTAAAGAAAATCACTAATATAAAGATTGCACCGACAGAGTACACATGGTGCATTTCTTTCTCTTTTTTTAGTGGGGAATCACAAAGAATCAGGGTGAATGGGCTTTGCTTTATGGGACTTCTAAAATCAGTAGAGTGGGTTAACCACTGATTTTTATATGACTCATAAAAATACTATGAAGATTGGTTTTATTCCAAAGGTTTTTCCTGCTGTTTGTTATTGAGTAGTAACAATATTCTCCAATATTTCCAACCCTCTCCGCTTTGTCTGAATTTGGTTTTTCCTAACTTCAGTGAGAAGCAAAATTACCATCAACTTGGGGTATAAGATGACTTTCTTAGAACAAAAACAGAAACAAAATAAAACCTGCTGAAACATGGAAATATATGTACAAAAGTCTCCAGCCACTAAAGGAATAAGAAGCAGATTCATGCACATTTCCATAGCTTGCACAGGAACATCAGAAATCTAACAGGAAAGTCTTTAAAAATATTTGGAGAATCGCAGGGCCTAGACTTCTTAGGAAGTTGCACAGAACTAACCCAAAATGTGCCTACATTTGCCCCTATCTCTTTTGGGGGAGGTGGGTTCACAGAGAGAAGCCAGAACCAGAGGTGGAGTATAGTCTCCGTTTATTTACTAGATTAATGAGATCCGCTTCTAATATCTTAATGACATTGGTCTCCAATGAGATTTAAAAAAATTTTTTTAAATGTTTATTTATTTTTGAGAGAGAGACAGACACAGACACAGAGCACACGTTGGGGAGGGGCAGAGAGAGAGGGAGAGACAGAATCTGAAGCAGGCTCCAGCCTCTGAGCTGTCAGCACAGAGCCCGATGTGGGACTCAAACCCACAAGCTGTAAGATCATGACCTGAGCCAAAGTCAGTCACTTAACTGACTGAGCCATGCAGGCACCCCTCCAATGAGAATTTTTTTCAGGAGAGAGTTTCTGACATAATCAAGAGCTTTGAGGAAAAAAGCAGGGTGTGAAACAGAAATAGTATCTTGGTGACATGTATAAACCTTTAAGGAATTTTCACGCTTACTGTTTATAAAAGGAAAAAATGCAAGCAATTCAGCAAAGTAAAAAGGACATAAAGATACTTGGAAGTCTCTCTATCCAATTTCTTTTACATAGTGTTCCAGAAACTCTCAAAATGATCATATACACATACTACTTTACAAAATTGGGATCATGGCTATACATTCAGATTTGACAGATGTTTTTTTTTTTTTTCATTTGACAAAATATCACGAACTGTTTTTCTGTATCAACTAATACATATTTACAGTATCCTTTTATTTGTTTATAAACTTTTTAGCGTTTATTTATTTTTGGGAGACAGAGAGAGACAGTGTGAAAGTGGGGGAGGGGCAGAGAGAGAGGGAGACCCAGAATCTGAAGCAGGCTCCAGGCTCTGAGCTGTCAGCACAGAGCCCAGTGAGGGGCTCGAATCCACAAGCCATGAAATCATGACCTGAGCCAAAGTTGGACGCTTAACCGACTGAGCCACCCAGATGCCCCTTTGACAAAAATGTTTGAAAGAAAGGTTGTAAAATGTCAAAAGCTTTGACACATCAGCAGAAAGGTATACAGAGATTAAAATCATAGCTCAGAGGTCATTCTAACTGCATCAGACTGTAAAAGCGTTAATATCTAATAACATTAAGCATTGCTGAGTAGGTAGAATGACAGGAATTCTTTCTCACAGGCTTCCGGTGGAAGTGTAAATTGATATTTTGAAAGACAATTTGAAACTGACGGGCGCCTGGCTGTAGCAGTCAGTTAAGCATCTGACTTCAGCTCAGGTCATAATCTCATGGTTTGTGAGTTCGAGCCCCACTATGGGTGAGCTCTGCTTCTCTCATTCCTTCTCTCTCTCTCCCTTTCACTGTACCCTCTCTCTCTCTCTCTCAAAAAAAAAAAAAAGAAAGAAAAGAATATAGTGTGGATTGAATATTATATACACATATAACTCTAGAAAGTTATGCAAAAAGCTCATTCCACTGTGGAGGGAAACTGAACAGCTAGAGTACATAGATAACAAAAATAATAATAATTTGATACTGCCAATTAAAGCTGAGGAGTGTGTCCCCTACAACCTAGCAAATAATCCCACTCCTAAGTGTAATTGCTAAAGAGATGTTTGTACCCATGCTCCAAAAGATACGTATATCACCACTTACAGTGGCATCATGGGGTCAGCACCAGCCAGGAAGCAATCTAAATGTCCATCTGTAAGAGAACGTATAATTTGTGTATATGCAGATGATGGAAAACTGTAGAGCAGTGAGAATAATAATACAGCTCTATCGAGAATAGGGGAGGGGCACCTGGGTGGCTCAGTCGGTTGAGCGTCTGACTCTTGATTTCGGTTCAGCTGATTTCGGCTCAGGTCATGATCTTGCAGTTTGTGGGTTCGAGCCCCGCATCAGGCTCTGCGCTGACAGTGCGAAGCCTGCTTGAGATCCTCTCTCTCTTTCTCTCTGCCCCTTTCCTTCTCAACTGCTTGCTCGCTCTCTCTCAAAATAAATAAACTCAAAAAAAAAAGGAACAGGGTAAATCTCATCCTAAGTATAAGACAGATGAATAAATGGTTTTGTAATTATAGAAATATGGAAAGAAAGGCAGGAGGGAAGGAAGGGTAGAAGGAAGGAAGGAAGGAAGGAAGGAAGGAAGGAAGGAAGGAAGGAAGGAAGGAAGATAGATCAGGCAAAAGACAAAGAACCCAGTCTATAAGGAAACATAATACAAAAAAAATATAGACACATGATCGATCACCTACAAAGGTTTCATGCCATAAAAAGAAGCTAAGTCTATGAATTTATTTTAAGAAAGCTTCAAGTCAAGATGATAAAACAATGGCGGGGGGGGTGGTGCCTGGGTGGTTCAGTCAGTTAAGCGTCTGATTTCTGCTCAGGTCACTATCTCGTGGTTTGTGGTTCAAGTCCAGCGTCGGGAACTATCCTGACAGCTCAGAGCCTGGAGCCTGTTTCGGATTCTGTGTCTCCCTCTCTCTCTACCCCTCCCCCACTCATGCTCTGTTTCTCTCTGTCTCAATAATAAATAAAAAGCATTAAAAAATGATAAAACAATGAAAGAGAAGGGATACTGCAATGCTAGGAAAATTGAAAACAAAAATAATTATCATTACAGGACCTAATAAACAAATTAGAAACAGCAGCATAAGATGCAAGTCTGAATTAAAATTAATAATAAAGGAATGGCTTGAAAGATTGAACGAAGGCAGAGGAAAAAGACACAAGGCTGAAGCCAAGTTGGGAGAAGACGGCAGCTGTCAAGGACAAAGATGGTCCAATGTGACGGTAACTGGGAGTAACACCGAAGGAAGGAGAGATGCCGGGAACACAGAGGGACAGAGGGCGGGAGAAGATTTTAGTGACACAGGAGGAGTTTTCTGAAAACAAGGGGCTGAATCTGTACATCAAAAGCACATGCTGTGTTCTGGAAACCTTTAACAAAATGCTCCATGCCAGTATGGCTTAGTTTTGCTTTTTAATTTCAAGGATTTAAAAAGTATATATACTTTAGGCATCCAGGTAAGGGGGAAAAAATCAGTGAACTTAGGCTTCTTCAGGACACCCAAGGCCAGGGGCGCCTGGGTGGCTCAGTCAGTTGAGCATCCAACTCTTGACTTCAGCTCAGGTCATGATCTCACGGTTGTGAGTTCCAGCCCCTCATAGGGCTCTGTGCTGGTGGAGGCTGCACAAGATACCCTCCCTTTCTCTCTGCCCCTCCCCTGCTCACACACACTCTCTCTCTGTTGAAATAAATAACTAAACTTATGAAAACAAGAGCACCCAATGCCAGAGGACAACAGCACCGTGCTTAACACATCTTGAAGAAAAGAAAGCAAGATGAAAGAATTATACCCAGCCAAGTTGTTCTAGTGGAAAAGTAAGAGGCAGATAGTCTCAAATATGAAAAAACAAAGGGAGTAAAGCCCCCATGAGCCTTTCTTAAGAAAATTACTTGACTATGAAATCCAGCCAGCCAGAAAATAAATCAAAATAATGAACTTGGAAAGGGATTAACCACAGTAAACGCCGGAGTATAGCCATGTGCATTAAACCCACGTAAGTACGCAAGAAAGGCCAAACAACTAGGGGAATTATAGGACCGAAATAGAATGTAAATATTATTGTAAACTCTGGCTAAGAACAAAATAGAAACAACGAGACTTGTGAGGTGGGAAGGAACACAGGAAGCGAGAGCCTGCCTGTACTGCCTGCGATCGAAAGATCCTTCAAAAACGCCGTAATTTCTGCAACTCTTAATGGCTTTCTTAGTCTCTCCTCTCGTCTCAAAGTCCCTTTTGGGACCTCATATATCCTGTGGTAAAGAACTATTTATCCAAAGTGCAGAAATGTCTTCGGCGTCATTTGAAGGCAGCACTGCCAGCAAGGACATGGCTTTATACTTGGCTCCAGGCCTTCCTGGCAGGGGAGTTCTGAACCCGTCAATAAACCTCTCCGTGCCTCGGTTTCCTCAAGTTGAGGCAGGGATGATAACAGGGCCTGGCTCACAGAGCCTGGGGCGCTTAGGACGCCGCCTTGCACCCAGGCAGCCCCACAAAAGGATTAATTATGAGGTTGGAGAGGGTGGCAATGTCTCCTTTGCTTCTGGTAAATTCAAAGACGTTTACATTAAATACCTCTTATTTGTAAAAAAAATAAAAAAAAAAAAGCATGATTCTCTTCTTATAAAATTATTTCTATCTGTGTAGCCACCCACTCACCCACCGAGACAACCATCTTTCTATGTATATGAATAGAGCCGGGCCGAGAATTATGTTCACCAAATGTTGTTGCCTTTGATTATTTCTGGGCGGTGGATTTTGAATAATTTATACTTTCTTCTTGGTACTTTTCAGAATTGCTTACTTTTTTTGTAACACTAATGTATTTTGTAATGGTTCTGTTTTATGAAAACAATAAATTTATTAACCACAATGAGAGAAAACAAAGCCTTACTAATTTACCAACACAGTATTAACAGACTCACTTCTCTAACACCTTGATCAACACTGGCTTCTGTTCATTTTTTCCTCGTGGACATTTTTCTACCAAAACTTTTGTGTTCATTTTTCAAAGCTCAACGCCCCTTAGCAACAGTTGTTATTTGTCTATGGTTTACATGGCACGCGCGCCATGTTTTGCTGTACAATAGCTTTTCATTTTAATGTAATCAAATGTATCAGTTTCTTTTTTTTATGGCTTTTGGGCTTTACATCATGTTTAAAAGGTAGTTGCAACTTCAAGATTAAAAATTTTCACCCACAGTATTTTTAAATTTAAATAGTTGATTCATATAGAATTTCTTTTGGTGTGAAGGATGGCAGGTTACAAACTTTTCCCCCTCAATGGCTGGCTAGTGAATTATTCCAATAATAACTACTGAATGAGCCACTGCCCATCCCTACCACGCTTTATTGGAATGCCTGATATCAGGGAACCTGGGTGACTCAGTCAGTTAAGCATCCAACTTTAGCTCAGGTTATGATCTCACAGCTCATGGGTTCGAGCACCGCACTGTGCTAACAGCTCAGAGCTGTGTCTCCCTCTCTCTCTGACCCTCCCCTGCTCATGCTGTCTCTCTCTCTCAGAAATAAATTTTAAAAAAGCATTAAAAAAAAATGGAATGCCTGATATCATATGTTAAATTCCATTACCCAACTACCGTCTTAAATCAATTTGAATGTCAGATTGTTGGGCCAGTGCCATACAGTCTTAATTATCATACCTTTATATTTTATGTGGTATATTGTTATGTGGTCCTCTATTATAACTTTTCAAAAGAAAAAAATATATATATATATATCCATCTAGATAGAGGGAGAGCAGACATTAATTTTGAATCTTCCCATCCAAGAACCAAAAAAGACCTTCATGTACTCAAGGTTTCCTTTATTTTACTCTGTAAAGATGTCTCGCGTCCTTACAGGAGTCTTGAATGTCTCTTACCAGATTTAGTATGTGAGTAGCACGAAGGGGGGACTTGGGAATCAGCCTCTCATTCCAGTACTATTACCAACGAACTGTCACAACTAGCTGGAGGTGGCCTCAGGGTCCAGGGAGGTGGGGGTAGGATCAAAACAACATTTAGAAGTAATGTCCAGACCGAAGGCTTTTCCTCAGCTATCAACCTCCTATGTCCGTACCGTACAGAACGCAGGCACTAGGGAGACTCTCTTACCTCCTGGCAGAAGGTCTTCTCAATTCCTTCTAGGGAGTAGTTTTCCCAGACATCTTCAGATGAAACTGGGCTGTGAAGGCACTCCCTTTTGGAAGTTTTGACAGATTGATTCTCCCAGGAGACCTCTATTAAAAAAAAGAGTTTTCATTTATTGACGTTGTCAAAGATACATTTAAATATTCAGTGTTTCCTTTTCATCATCAGCTGCCTGGCAAAAATTTGAGTGAACCCAAATGGTGTTGAAATAACTGGCGGGACGTTTTAGAAAAAAGTTAAATTAATCTACTTGCTAGCTTGTGCTAGGATAAACCTTAGGTAGGGGAGACAGTACATCAAGTAGAAAAATAAAACCACAAAAGCAGTGGAAGAAAATTAAGATGAATATTACACAGAACACAATCTCTGGGTGGGAAGTCCTTTCCAAGAAGCACATTACAGCCCCAAATCACTTAACTAATGGTTCAGCCTGATGATATAAATATTTATCTTTTTTGTTTGGTTAAAACACACACTCGCAGATCACAATGAAAGAAACATGAGTGAGAAAAACGATAGATTAATTGCTGTGATGCGCAAGTAGCTCTTACGAATCAGTAAAATAAATACTCAAAAGACCATAGACAAAGGTTATAAACAGGTAATTCCCACAAAAAGAATGAAAATTCCAACAAATGCATGAAAAAAGTACTCAAACTCATTGGTAACCATAACTCTAATTAGAACAAGTTAACAATATTTTTCCAAATAAGCATGAATAAAAGAGAATGATACAAAAAGAAACCAGTTTTGGCCTTTGTATAGAAAACTTGGTAACTGAATACTTTTAAATCTCCTTTTAGAATTTTACACAAATAGAATTATAGGACCACTCAACAAAGGTATGTGGGTAAGGATTTTTTTTTTTGCACTGTTTAAAGACTCACAAAACTGAAACAATTTAAATGCCCATTAATAGAGGATTGGTTTTATAAATTGTGGTTCCGCAAGCCTATAAAATACCACACAGACATTAAAAACAAAGGTGCCTGTCTAAATTAGTGAACATGGAAAATTTTCCTTCATATATATTGTTTCATGATTGAAAGAAAGATGACTAGCATAATTTAATTTTCATTTTAATACTTACATTGTGTATTTGCCATCCTAGCCATCCATCCATCCACCCACCCATCCATCCACCTACCCATCCATCCATCCACACATCCATCCACCCGCCTACCCATCCATCCATCCATCCATCCATCCATCCATCCATCCATCCATCCGAAAAGAAATCTAGGAGGATAGTACACCAAAAAGAACACAATGGGGAAATTCAGGGGGTAGGATTGCAGGGATTGTTTTTTGTGTTCTTGCATTTTCTGCGTTTTTTTTCAGGAAGCATGTATTACTTCTACAATAAAAGAATAAAATAAATCTACAATATAGCCATTTTCTTCCTCAAAGTCGACTACAAAGAATCACAAATGGTTTCCCAGATTTATTTCCTAAACTGTCTGCAAATAAGCTTCACTCAAATTAAGCACACTTACGACGACTCAGCTGTAGTTAACAAACTGCCAGTCTTCTGGAATCCCGTTGCCTACCTAAAAAAAAAAAAAAAAAAAAGAAGGGGAAAAGAAAAAGAAAAACAGCCTCCCCCAGTAGACCCCTCTGGCTACATAATGAAATACACAGCCATTCTTCCAGAATGTGGTCTGGAATTCTGTGGCCTCGGTGAGCCAAGCACTTGAAACTGGGATCTCAGAGCACACACACCACAACAGCCTTGTCGAGAAATGGGGAAGCCAACCCACAGAACCAGGGTCTGACTCGCTTGGGCACACAGAGCTCTCCACCTGGGCTTTCTGACACTGTGCCCTGCAATGGCTCCAGTCTGGGACGCTGGCACTCTAATGACAGTTCACAGGGACACAGGGCACATGGAGGGAAACCCACCCATGCTCCCGTAAACAGGATGCCAGCTCTGGAGGATGGGGGGCACCGGGGTGTGAGGCCTGCCCTCAGGGGCCCATGCGGCTATACTGCTGCCATAAGCTGGCTATGAAGCTCAACCAAGCCATGTTCAAAGGCATCTCTCCTGTCACAGTTATGCCGGGCCTCAATCATACCCAGAGTAACAATTCCCACCACCCGTTAATTTCCCCAAATTTCCTCTGCAGGGTCCTTGCTGATTTGAAATGGGGTAGAGAGGAAATCCAAAGCTTAAGGGGGGCATTTACTCGTGTCACGGATGCAGACAAAGGAAACCCACCCCCCCAATGTCATTTCTTCAGGTGCCAAATAGAGAGTGCCCTTGATAACTAGATAGAGAAGCCCAAGATGATGATGGCTTCTTAAGAACACAAACACAGCAAAACTGGAAGTATGCAAAATTAACAGAAAATGTAGTTCTATATATTTAGAAAAGTCAAAGGTCATGGTCGCTGCAAATAAATGACATACAGACTCCCTGCCAGAGGTAAGAACAGCATCAAACCCACCAGCAGCTCTTGGTAACGAGTCAGTCCTTATAGGACCCATTTTCTCCAAAAAGGAACCTACATGAGCAGATTTTATTCTTTTCATTTATAGTTCATAGATAAGAGAGAAAAGCAGGAGTTCGAATGAGAAACAGAAACAGATATAAAGAAATATGTGGAGTTATGTGCTTACCTAAGGGAGTGAAATTTTGGGAGAAAATGCACACGGGATACATCATTTTAACATTATTGCTCTCTTGGGACTATCTTCCCCAAACCACTACATAGGAAACAAATATTATTAAACACTAGTAAAGATTTCACTCTAGAAAAATCAGAAACAGTCTAGAATTTACTTATCTGTCCATGTGCCTTACGGCTGGAGTGCCAAGAAAAGTATTTCTCAGTGGAGGCTCGAAAGGAAGGTTCAGAAACTCTGAAAATAGTACAACAGTGAGAGGACTCACTTTGGATCTGATCACGGACTCTGCAACCTTCCGTTACTAGCTACATAGGCTTGTGCTTCTGGGTCCCCATTTGCAAGAAGAAATAGACAGAAATGCCACAGAGTTCGCTCACAGGACACTCAGTACACATGGGCTACCTACTGATGAATGAGAAATGTTTTAAATGATAGGAGACAAGAAAGTCTACTAGTATCAACCAGAGTTAGAAAAACTCTGAAATTCGATGATAGAGCCCCGAAGCAAATTAGAAATAAAATCAATCCAGAAATAAAGGCTGAACTAGAAGTAACACAAGATCAAATAAACAAAAGTTCCAGGAGGTGAAAAAGAAAAAAAGATTGTATCAAGGAAGCAAAAAGAGAAGGCAGGAAAGAAGGTGTGCAAGAAAGTGATAGTCTCACAAAGAAGATAGGAAAAGGAACCCAAGATACATGCAAAATGTACCATTGGAAAAGAAAACGTAACAGTGGAATGGTTCAGATGCTAAAAAATACAATTCCAGGAGTCTTCCTGAAATGACAGAGACTCAAACCTAGCAATTCAAATAGTACCTAAATACTTATAAAATCGGTCACAAGTGTCCAACATCATAACTTCTAGCAAAATTATTGGGTTTTAAATAAAAAGCAAAAAAATTCTCTGGCTATCTGAACAAAAGGACAAGGCACTAACGAGGGAAAGAAAGTCAGTCTGTCATCAACCTTTTCTTCAGCAAAGCTTTCCATCACGAGGCAATGGGTAAAGATATTTAAGATCCTTAAGGAATGAAAATCTGAGCTAAGGATTTTATCAAATGATTTTTTAGACTAGGCCACATACAGACTGTAAGAAATCAGAGACTATCATTTCCATGAGCACTTCACAAGAAATCTACTGGAGGACAAGCTTCAAAGAGCCAAAATGACGAGAGAGACAAGTAAGAGAGAGAGAAGCAAGTGAGCAGATAGGATAAAGGTCTCGCTCCTAATGCGGCAATCTTACGGAAGCTGGGTCAGCGAGACAGGAAGACCTACTTCTTTATGACTTACACAGACACAAATTAGAAGATAAATCAAAACCTAGAAATGACCCTTGAGCTGCTCCATTTAACGTCACTGTCTTCTTCGTTGGATTGCCGCCCTGAACAACCAGCCTCAGTTGTCCTGGCTTTTCCCAAAACCAGTTAGTAAGGTGGGAACTCAAATTAGCCAAGCCATGGCCCAAATAAAATGATTTCCATTAGAAGCCAACCCAGAAAGAATATGCTGGTGCCATAAGAGTCGCACTTGGGGGCCGAGGATTTTGAACCGGTAAGGATGGCGGTGGGAACGATGCCCAGCTGATGTCAGTGACTCGTCCCTTCCCACGACATACCAACAAATAGGCCTCTGCTGACAGCCTCGGTGTAGAGCTTTCATATAATGCGGCCCATAGCCCCAAGTTGCTACAGCTGACCCTTGAACAACACAAGGATTAGGGGTTCCAACCCCAGCACAGTCAGAAGTCTGCATGCAAATTTTGACTCCCCCAAAAAACTTAACTAATAGCCTACTGTTGACTAGGTGTCTTACTGAAAGCATCAACAGTTGATTCACACATATTTTGTATGTCCTATATATTATATGCTGTATTCTCACAATAAAGTTAGAAAGAGAAAAGAAGATGTTAAGAAAAGCATAAGGAAGAGAAAATACACTGACAGTACTGTTCTATAAAAGCTCTGTGTACATATGGAGCTGTACTGTTCAAACCTGCGTTGCTTGGGTCCCCTGTGTATCTCTGTGTATCTTTAAGTTAGAACATCCACAGAAAAGATTTTGCCTTCTAACTGAATGATTGGAATTTCAATTATAAAAGTTATAGAGGAAGTATTCAGTGGTAAAATTGGCATGAGTAAGATTTTATTTTAAGATGATCTCTACGACTGGGGTATAGAAGACAGATCGGAATAGGCCCAGGCTGCAGACAATGACACCAGTTAAGAAGCAGCAATAAGAACCTGAAGGAACAGGAATATACACAGCAATATATATATATATATATATATATATATATATATATATATATATGTTTATCTCATATTAAATCAAATAAAAAATGGCTTTCATTGTGAGATGTGTCATTATTTTACATATCCCTCACAAACAAAAATAAAAACGTTGCCAATTGTTGATTACGAAATGGGGGGAAACATAAGATTCCCACATTGTAAATGAAATTGTATTATAGAGCTCACCTTCTTACAATACCTAAGGAAATAAACAAAAGAAAAAAATAGTAGAAATTAGAAAGAAAAAAAAAAAAACTACCAGCATAGACTGAAGCAAGAAGAAACTCTTTTTTTTTAATTTTTAAAAAATGTTTGTTTATTGAGACAGAGAAACAGAGCGTGAGCATGGGAGGGGCAGAGAGAGGGAGACACAGAACGCGAAACAGGCTCCAGGCTTTGAGCTGTCAGCACAGAGCCCAACGTGAGGCTCAAACCCATGGACCGTGAGATCACGACCTGAGCCGAAGCCGGACGTTTAGCTGACTGAGCCACCTAGGAGCCCCAAGGAGAAACTGTATATGGGCAGCCAGAAAGCTTTGCTTCCAACTATGGTGACTTGGCTCCTATTGAACTATCCTCCCAGCAGATATAAGTACAAACTCTGGCCAAAATATAAACACAAAACTGAAGGCACTAGAGAGCAACTGACATCAACTGGAGTTGACACTTGGAAAAAGAGAGTAACTCTTGATGCACGGCTTGCTATTTGGCTTTTTGCCTGGGGGCAGATATCAAGCGGAAATGATGCTAAATGGATAGAATTTGGATATAGACCCAGCATCCTGCTGGCATTAGGAATCAGAAGACAGAGTTCAGGACTACCCAGCACCTGGAAAGTATGAAAGTGAGGAAAGACCAGAACGAAAGGCATAGAGGAGGACTTCCAAAGTCTTTGGCTAGTCCCTGAACAAGATCTATGGAGCAGACAATAAGACGCCCAGCTAAGGCTAAGAGAGCAAAACAGAGATTTCAAGCGTTAAAGTCCTCAGAGGACAAAGACTAGAGTCTGAGTGTAGCTGCATAAACTGCCTGCTAAAAATTCTTCAGGGGAACGTAACAGAATCCACAGGCTCTACGATGCAAAATTTACTATATCCAGGATAAATTCCAAAGTTGCTAGACATAGCGAAAACAAAACAAGACAGAACTGTGATCCCTGATACTCAAGGGGAACAAAGGAATCAATAAAGACCAGACTTGGAGATGACCTGAATGTTGGAATTAGCAGGTGAAAATGTTAAAGCTTTTAAAAGTTTTAATTTCAAAATAAGTGTTTGAGGACATAAAGGAAAATATACTTTTTTAAAAACCTATTTTATTTATTTATTTCTGAGAGAGAGACAGCATGAGCAGGGGAGGGTCAGAGAGAGAGGGAGACACAGAATCTGAAACAAGCTCCAGGCTCTGAGCTGTCAGCACAGAGCCCGATGCGGGGCTCGAACCCACAAACCGTGAGATCATGATCTGAGCCAAAGTCGGATGCTTCACCGAGTGAGCCACGCAGGCACCCCAGGAAAATATACTCTTAATGAGTGAACAGATAGAAACTCTCAGCAGAACAACATAAGCTATAGCAATGCATTCTATGTTTAGATATAAAAGTACAACCTGTAACAGCACTGTATCAAAAGACAGGACAGAAACAGGCAAGTACTGTTGTAAAGTCCTGATAGTTCATGAGAATTAGTATAATATTGTTTGAAGGTAGACTTTAATTAATTAAAGGTGTATAACAGAATAAAAATTATCAATTTACCCAATGTTCTCGAAATTATGAAAACACTACTGGAACAGTGTTAGAGGCTGGTGTAGGTGGACTGAGAAGGAAGGAGAGGAGCATAAATGCAATAAGGCAAAGATCTCATCTTGGAATAAAATATAAAAGACACAAAATTACTTTAAAGAACATCCTCAGGAGCACCTGGGTGGCTCAGTCCGGTTAAGCATCCAACTTCAGCTCAGGCTTGATCTCATGGATCATGATGGGTTTGAACCCCACATCAGGCTCTGTGCTGACAGCTCAGAGCTGTGTCACCCTCTCTCTCTGCCCCTCCCCTGCTAATGCTCTCTCTCTCTCTCTCTCTCTCAATCTCTCTCTCAAAAATAAATAAACATTTTTTAAAAGAACATCTTCATAAGAACACAAAATCAGGGGCGCCTGGGGGGCTTCGTCAGTTAAGCATCTGACTCTTGATTTTGGCTCAGGTCATAATCTCATGGTTTGTGAGATCTAGCCCTGTGTCAGGCTCTGCGCTGACAGCACAAAGCCTGCTTGGGATTCTCTCTCTGTCCTTCTCTCTCTGCCCCTCCCCAACTCATGCAAGCATGCTCTCTCTCTCTAAAAATAAATAAATAAACATGAAAAAAGAACACAAACTCAGTAAAACAAGATGATAAGACAACAAAACGAGAAGGAAAGTAATATAGTAGACCAAAGGAAATGCCTTGATACGAGTAATAAATAAGGTAGAAATTGCACGGAATAAAATAGACCGTGGCAAAAATCAAATCACAGGTGTAGATAAACGACCTGAGATGATCACTGTGAGCTCAGAGGATAAAAGGCAATGAAATAAAAAGGCACATTGAGATAACTTAATAGATGCAGAAGACAAAGACAATCCAACGTAAGGATAATTTGCAGCACCGAAGTTAAAAATCAGGAAAATGAAACCAAAGATTTATTCGATGATACATAATACTATTTTTAAAAAAATCTTGAAATGAAAAAGTAATTGGACTTGCAGATTAAAAATACACTGTCAACAGGATGACTCTCCCAGCTATGTTTCTGAAATTCAGGGAACATGTCATTCCTTTGCGCAGCCAGCTAGAAAAAGCACGTCATGGATGAAGGGGGAAATGGGGCAAGCCTCGGACTTCCCCACAGCCCCACTCAGCACCAGAGGCAGTGGGTCAAAGTCTGTGATGCTGGGGAGCAGGAACGTGTGACCTGTGAATGATACATCCAGCCCAGACACAGTCAGGATTTTCTTGAGTTTCACTGCAATTCCTATTCTTGTGATAGGCTCAAGTAAAAGCCAAAGCTTCCATAAAAAAGCATCTCTGGGAACCCGGTTTTACAAAGCTATGTATGTCTTCCTGTCTTTCTTCTCCTTTCCACGGATCCACATGGAAAGATGCAGGCGTCAGGCTCACGGTGGTTAACTCTGGGTGGTAAGATTGGCTTGGCTATTTACTTCCATCTTTTTACTTCATCTGCCTCAGTGCCTGCCTCACGGGGCTGCGGCGAACATGAAGAGACAGTACAGGAGCATGCTCAGCCTCAGGCCTGGCGTGGGACAAATGTTTGGTGAGCACAGTGGAATGTTATGCTTCTCAAGTTAGGACACTAAACTTATCTGTGATGAAAACTCTCTATGATCAAGGGAGATCCCACCTTCTATCCCACGTGGACAAAGTTCACAGCCCACGTTCCAGCCAAACACGTTCCCCCTTCAGGGGGAACCTCTCATTCCCTCCATGGCTGTCACGGGCATCCTGTGAACTTGGCCTGTGAATGTACCTCCCGGCTCCTCCCAGGCCCCCCTCCTCCTCCTGTGCATGCTCCACGACATTCTGTTCTTCCCTCTCAGGCGTTTGGACAGTTTGTTTTGGAGCTAAACAGCTCCAATCTCAACACCACCAACAACCAGCTCTACGACTTTGGGGGCTTCCTTTAACACCCGTGAGTCTGAGTTTTCTCATCTAAAACATGGGATGGTAATAGCCATCTCACAAAGGTGTTGAGACAAATAAAAATTAAAATTAAGGCTCAGGCAGCATCTATACAGAGCCCAACAGATAAGTGCTTTATATTCTTATTCCTTTTTTATGTGACTTCTTTTATGCCTTTACCTGTCCCGTTTTTAGAAGACGCACACACACACACACACACACACACACCTTAAAGACACAGTATGTTACTTGGCTCCAAAGCCAGTGAAGGGCCCAGTAGTATGATGTGCACGTGAACTAACAAAAACACAAGGGATGAAGGGGTCCTTGCAAGATCATCTCATCTAGTAATTCTGAAAACTTGAGAGTTTTTAAAAAGGAGAGCCCTGGGGGGGTCAGTGGCCTGAGAGAATCCAGGCCAACATTTGAGAATGTGTCATTGACAAGCTTGCCAGAGTGGCGAATCTGAGAATCACGGAAGATGCTCAACGAGTGTTTGTTGCACTGAATTAAACTGAGACCAGACAGTGACGCTGTGTCTTGAACAAGCTGTTCGTTGGCAGGTGGCAAGTCCCCGAGGCAAGACACCGCTTGTCTTCCAGGGACCAGAGGCTCCCAAGGGAGAATCTCGCATTACGTTCTTCATAAATGCATCCTCAGAGGACTGGACTCTGCACTCTCCAGAACTTTCCAGCAGGTCAGCAACTCCAGGCACTTGGTTGAGGAGGCTGGGGTAAACGCCTCCAGCGCAAGGAGAAAACGTCCCTTCCCAAGGTGAAGGGCCTGTGTGAGCCTGGCTTTACGTGTCTAATATAATGTACAGACTACTCAACTATTTCCCCATTGCCAAGGGAATAACAGCTTTACTATAAAAATTTTTGAAAGTTTTTGAAAATACAGAAGTAGCAGAAAGAAGAAAGAAACAACACCCAGGGACATATCACTTAAAGACAATCTGTATTTTAGAATTTCTTCCCAACCCTTTACGAATACTCCCCATCCACTTTCTGCGTTTACCATTAACTTCCTGGAAATTGTTGCTCATGGCTGCACACGGTTACCCTGTGACCCACTTAACCCTTGTTCTGTTGTTAGACACGTTCTTCTTCTAAGTGACGATGCCACGGCTATCTTTGTGCATAAAGCATTTTCCGTATTTGAAAGTATTTCTCAGAACAGGTTCCTGGAAGAGGAATCATCGTGCCAAAGGATGTCGAAATCTTTAGCTTTCTACGTCCAAACCACTCACCTGGGTTTCCCACTTTATATCTATGATTCAAGTCGTTATTTATACTGAGGTTCTTCAAAAAAACATTATAGTCCACTGTAGTGTCTTTATCAATGTCGTAGTGCTCTGCAAACCTGAAACAGAAAGGTTCTTTGCTAATCAGAAGTTAAGATACAGAGAATCTAAAATGAGGCAAGGTATCCTTCAACACTGGGGTTGGCATTCATTTTAAATGTGTTTCTAGTGAGAGCTGGAATTAAAAAGTGAACGGTAAGAACTGTTACCCTGAGATTCAAACACACAGATACTCGGAAGGGGATCACTCTACGTGGCCTACCGACACGTGTGTGAGGATTCGAATGCTACAGGTCCATCGGGACCATCTTCTCCCTTCTCTGGCAGGAGGAGGGGGCAGCCAGGACTCAAGATGCACTCAGACACCAAAAGCAGGTCCCACTTTCCTTTAATAATTCGGGGCAATGGGGGCACCTGGGTGGCTCAGCCGGTTGGGCGTCCAACTTTGGCTCAGGTCATGATCTCACAGTTTGTGAGTTCAGGCCCCACGTTGGGCTCTGTGCTGACAGCTCAGAGCCTGGAGCCTGCTTTGGATTCTTCTCCCTCTCTCTCTGCCCCTCCCCACTCATGCTCTGTCTCTTTCAGATATAAATACACATTAAAAACATTTTTATGAAAATAATAATAGGGGGCAATGGATCTGGACCATGAGTCAATTAGCAGAAAGCCACTATAACCAGAGAACTCCAGAGCTGGGTGCAGGGGAGAACATAGCGCTTCCTCTTGACCAAGCACAGGATTTCACAGAGACAAACGGAGGCACAGTTCACTGTGGTGGGCGGGGCGGGGAACCAAGGTCTCTCCCTGAAATATACTGAGATGCTGATTTTTATTTTTTTATATTTTTTTTAATGTTTTATTTATTTCTGAGAGAGGGAGAGAGACAGTGTGAGCAGAGGAGGGTCAGGGAGAGAGGGTGACAGAGAATCCGAAACAGGCTCCAGTCTCTGAGCTGTCAACACAGAGCCCGACACGGGGCTCGAACCCACGAACCATGCGGTCATGACCTGAGCTGAAGTTGGATGCTTAACTGACTGAGCCACCCAGGCCCCCCGCTGAGAGATGCTCTCTTTTAAAAAGTTCAGATAAATAGGATGTTTGGATGTTTTTTCTTCTCCAAATGAATCTTCTATTTATTATTCAAATCTGCCACTTGATAAATGGCTTCCTAGATGATTTCTGCATTATTACATTTATAAAAAATTGACAGTTTTTAAATGTTTGGTTATATTATCTCCATATGTGTTGGTTTCTATAATTATCTAATTTCATGCTGCTTTCTAAAAATTTAGCAATTATCACTTAAAGTATTTGTTATTTTGCTGTTTTCCCAATTTAACAAAGAGTAACGTCATGTATTCATTTCAACGCGTACCTTTTTCCTCCCCCACTTTGATGAATCTTGCCTATTGTTCTAATAAGAAAAACTATCTGAAGGCAGGATAGCTGCCGGAGGTTAACTCTGACACTCCCAGAGTAGCTGCGTCTTTCATCCACGCTCTCTGTCTTGTGGAAACACGGCTGTGGGCTCAGGGACCCGGAAGGCTGACCTACTGTGCTCCTGTCTGAGTTACTGTCCTCTAGAAAGCACTGGCTACTCTGCTGCTCCAGGAAAATGCCAGATGCTGATCAGTAGCTCATCACCAACTTCACTGTTTTCCTAGGAACTCTGGCATTCCTTCAGACTGGCATTTCCCTCCTAAGAGAATCCTGACCTTTCCTAACACCCAGCCCATCCGCATTCATAATCCCTGCCGCGTATTCGTCAAGGACAGACAGACGGAATCCCGTGGTAATATTCCTTACAGACAAAATCTCAAAAACGAAGTCTCAGCACTGCCCTGGCGTCCAGTTTCCCCAATGCTTTTCTTTTTTCTTTTTCTTTTTCTGTTTTTTTTTTTTGTTGTTGTTGTTTTTTTATAAGAACGAAGGCAGGGGAGACAGAATCATTCCTGACATGAAACAGCGGGGGACCATCTCCCCCGGGACCTGCACTCCGGGCAGCAGAGCGCCCGTGTCTGCACAGCCCTGCAGGCGAGTGGGTCACGCAGCAAGGCCAACTGCAGGGTCAAGGGAAGGAAACCAGTCGACCCATAAACCTCTGCGGCATCACCACCTACAACGGCCTTGGGCTCTGCTCCCTGTGCAGGTGGCGGGGTGGCCTCAAATGAGTCTGTTTGCTTTGTAAGCTGCTCGTTCATTATTTTACAGGGATCCAAATGCTTGGGCCTGCAGGGCTCCAGACGGTAGGGGGTGTCGGATGGGAAAGGAAAAGCAAGCCCAATGGGTCTCGGGGGTGGTCCGATCAAGTGCAAAATTGGCAAGGATCTTCTCTCTCGCCTCTTCTGCGCACACGCTGGACGGCATTCTGCAGCCTAGAGAGAACTGTCTTCCAGAGAGTAAAGCGCATTTCTGGAATCTTCACGACCGCAGTAGAGTCGCTGGGAAATCCACACCTACTATGTGCCAGGCGCATCACAGGCCCGCTTTGTACATGACGTCTTGGCGCCAGCCCCGCAAGGGGAGCTCCTTCCTCAGTCTCCACTTCTTTAAGGGGAAGCTGGGTCTCAGAGAGGCCCAGGACCTTCCCACGGCCCTAGAACCGGGGAGGGCGCAGCACAGACATGACCCCAAGCAGGGTCCGACTTCGAAGCCCTGGATGCTACCGCCGTACCAAGCGCCAGAGGCGGGTATTAAACAGAAGGCTGTTAGATAAAAGAAAGGAGTCAAAAATGCATTGTGTTTCCTGCTCAAAACCTAAAAAGGCCAAGTTAATACGGAAGCAGCTTCTCAAGGCAAGAGTATCTTCTTGAGCTTCTATAAGAAAAGCATTAAAGCAATTGAAGAAATGGTCTGCTTTTGATCCTCTGTGTTCCTGTTCTAAAGAAAAGCAATTCTATTATGTTAAGTTTCCCAAGCATATCGTGAAAACAGCACAGTTTTTGAGGCTTAGGGAAAAAAAAAATCTCAAATAAAAATTTGTGGAGTTCTTTATTATTCAATACTTACGAGATGGGGAAACAGACAGTAACATTTTTTATAGATTTACTAGGTTGGAGACTGCAGTGCCAAACACAAGGTTTATTGTGAAATAAAACACTGTTTTGTTTTTTGATTGCCTGTTTTAGAAGGGTGTTGCTTCTGTTCTATAATTGCGTGCACAAAATTATTTAATTTGTTTTGTTTGGATCTTACTCTGGACACTTTCCCAGTCGGAAAGATGTAAAAATTAAAACATCTATTATGTCCTTTTATATTCTGAGGTGGGTTATAAAGAGGAAAACAAGAAGAAAATATCCAAAAGACCAGGAAAGACCCATTTCTATAAAGTCTCCTTGCTTTTCAGACCCCGCGGCGCCCCTGCCACGGCCACATGCCCCTCCGCTTCCTTGCTACAGTGGCAGGTTCCTCTCCTCTGGACAGAAGCGACATGGCCTTTAGGACACGACACAAGCCGGCGCAGGCGCCACTGTCAGAGCGAGCTGTAACTGCAGCGTGATGGAAGGCTCTTCAGCGCGGAGGGAAATAATAAGCTTGGTGCTTCTGTTAACAGCCTGGGGGACGCCGAGCAAAGTGGGAAGAGGCGGGAAGAGGAAGAGAGCTTCTTGGCTGAGTCCCACAGAAATGAAGTTCAACGTGGGCCCCCTTCTAGTGGCTTCCATCCAAAGCCCAGGCAGCCATGGAAGCCAAGCGTCCGGCTTCTTCTAAATGATCTGGAGTTTATTGGAGGCTCAAAACAACAGCAACAACAAAGGCCCCCGCAGGCTTCCACACACTGCCCTCGAGTCAGGAGCCAGAGGCTGGGAGGCAGCTAAACATTCAATTATTCGCGGCTCCCCCTGCTGCGGGGCCTCCCTGCCCCCCACCCCAGCAACAAGGGTCCTCGGAGGAAAATTAAGTTTCTGTTGTGGTATCAGGATGGAGAGCCGATAGGGAGCACATCGACTGATGAATAAATCCTGGAATCTGTTCTTCTCTAACCCGGGGCTTTGAGTGAAAGTCAGCTGTGAGCGGGAAACGTGGGGGATGGCGGGCGTGGTGCCAACCAGGGAAGGCGAGACAACGGGCGATGGATCACGTAAATAATCGGGGTGTGTTCAGATCCACAGGCCCAATGACTGTCACCCTGGGGACGCTGGGAATTAGAACCGTTAGCTCTCGAGTGTGAGCATTTGCAGGGAGCATAATGGGCACAGGAGAAATGCCATGAGCGCATTTTCTCTTTTAAATCCCAGTCACGACGGAGACAGCAGGAGGGGACGGCGGGGGTGGGGGGGTGGTGAGGGGGTGCCAGGGCACCTGCCCCGTCCCGCTTTGGAACTGGGGTAAGTTCTGCGCAGTTTCTCACCACACCTTCGTTTACTCACTTTTTGTATTCATCGTCTTTCATCTTCAAACAGAAGGTCTCCAGAACTTTCCTCAGCTCATGGGGCTGGACCAGACCGGTCTTGTTAACATCAATGAGCTTGAAGGCTTTGATAACTGTTTTAATGTTCTCGAAAATCTGTGTAGAGAAAGTGATTTAGGAGAAGTCAAAAGACCCAGTGGTAAAAACCAAAATGGTCATAAAAATGCGAACGGTTTAAAATACTTCTTGTAAAATAAAATGTTTTCAAAGACACGCAGTTGTAGGTATGGCAAAGTGACATGTCTACTGGAAAAAGGCACACTTTGCATTTATTGAATGTTTGCAAAGCAATTTTCTCTGTAAATGGTCTTAGTAAGTTTCTAAGAAGTCTTTCTGATGTAAAGCAGTTAAGTCTCACTCACAATTCATTCCCTTTTAGAGCCACATGAAAAATCTCTTTTGTTAATTGATACTGAAAAACTATAGTTCAGGTAAGGCTGGACACATACAATCTTTTTCATAGCCATTTGCAAACTGTCTTTACTAGGCTCTGCAAAACGTGACTGTAGATTTCAAACCCTTTGAATTTTGACATTTTTTTTAACGTTCATTATTTTTGAGAGAGAGAGAGAGAGAGCCAACAGGGGAGGGGCCGAGAGAGAGGGAGACACAGAATTCAAAGCAGCTCCAGGTTCTGAGCTGTCAGCACAGAGTCCGATGTGGGGCTTGAAATCAAGAACTGCAAGATCATGACCTGAGCTAAAGTCAGACACTTAACCGACTGAGCCACACAGGTGCCCCAGCCTCTTAGAATTTTTTAAAAATATTCTAGAAAATCTGTATAGAGATCTTACCCAAATCCAGCAAATGCATATTTACTGGGCACACAGACGTGAAAGGCATTTGGAAGAGCCCTGTGGAGATGCGGAACACTAAGCTGTGTGCTTATCCCAAAGCTTCTTGTACGTAGAGGACAACATCTGCTGGGGCCCACACGTGGAGCCGTGTGATTGAATCCCCCCCACCTCACGGTGGGGGAAGTACCATACCCCATTTTGCTGGGACTCTAACGCAAGTCAACCCGTTAGCTGCACCACCCAAGGAGAAGAACAAGACATAAAATAAGTATCCGCCAAAGCCACCAGGCTTGTCTGGCTCTTGTTCCCATAGAGCTATGGGAACAAGAGCCAGACAACAGAGACAGTGTGGAGCTGGAGACCTTCACAGAGAGTTTCAGCTTGAGTCGTCCAGGAGGCTTCCTGGAGGAGGAGATATCTGAGCTGAGAGGGGTGCGTGGGGCACGGCGGGAAGGCATTCTGCATGGGGATGGGACTGTGGATGAAAGGTGATGACTGTCTGTCTCGTAGAGCCTTGGAAGTTCTGATTCTACTGTCCTGTACTAGGCCAAGTCCATGTCCAGCCCAGAGTTGGGTGATTAGTGCCCCTCAAGGAAGGGGTTTGGCAACAAGTCTAAGATGAGCAGGGTTTTTTCTCTTTTTATTAACATCTCCTACTTCCTCAACACTGCCTCGGACGGGACCCTGGTGGCCGTCTCCGGCGGTGGCCGCCCTCGTGCTCACACCTGGGAAGCCCCTGCTCCCTCTCCCCCCTCGCTTCTTGGACCCACGAATGCCAGGCCCTCCGAGCTGGGCTGTTGGCCCCTGACAGGCCAGCCCTGCCTCAAGGACCGCTCGTGGCTCCCCAGAGGCTACCTCTGACCCAGGTCTCTCAGCTCCTGGTCCTTCCCCCAGCCCGAGGTCACCGCTGCCTGCTCAGACTCCAGCCTGGAGTGCCCAGTGCCTGCCACTCTCCAGAACCGGGCCCCATGCTCCCTCCACCCCACCCCTCCTCCAGCTCCCTCCCTCGAGGGCAGGACCCCACAGCCTTCTCCCCCCTCCCAAAGGCCCCCACCTGCCACTCAGTCCTCCACACTCTTCCCCATCGCCCCCACCAGCCGGTCAGTCTCTGTAATCACCGCTGCACCTTTGATCCCCACCCCCGCCTCAGCCTTGGCCAGACCCCATCCCTGGCTACATCCAGCTCCCCGCCTATTCCAAACCCCTGACGGGGCTGCAGAGCGCAGCCCTCACCACTTACCCGGGGCCCCTCACCGAGGGCACTGTGTGATCCAACTCTCCCGTGTGATCACTCGCCACCCCCCACCCCTGCCAGACTCTGTCCACCTTCCCCCCCTCGTGCCTCCCTTCCCATCCCCTGTCCTTCCTCCCCCCTGAGAGCCTGGCCCCTAATTTATGCCGGAACACAGAAGGGGCTCGGAGACAACAGCCCCGCACTCTCCAGTGTCTAAGGTCCATCTGACTCCAAACCCACATGAGGGGCCTCCCCCGGGCCCCGTTCCGTGATGCTACCCACCGGACACTCGCGACCCCGTCCCCTACGCCACATTGCCCCACTCACATCTCCCCACCAACCCTGACCCGCCAGGCCCCACAGACCGGCCCCAGGCGGCCCTCTCACCTCGTCCCCCAACCTGTCCCCTGGCTCGCCGCCTTCTGGCCCCAGACTCCCTGCTCCCCCAGAGTTCCAGGCTCCTCCTGCCTTAAGGCATTTGCATTTGCTGTTCTTTCTGCCTGGAACATTCTTCCAGACACCCAGTGTCTCAGTCCCTCACTCTATCCGGATCGCAGCCCACATGTCACCTTGTCAGAAAGGCCTTCCTGACCGCGAGTGTAAGTCAGGGCCCCACCCCCAATACATGGATCCTCATCTCCAGAGGACTTTCTCACCAGCTGATTTTTTTTAAAATTTTATTTACTTTTGAGAGAGTGTGTGAGCAGGGGAGGGGCCGAGAGGGGGCGGGGGGACAGAGGATCTGAAGCAGGCTCTGCGCTGACAGCACAGAGCCCGATTTGGAGCTCGAACCCCCAAACCGTGAGATCATGACCTGAGCTGAAGTCGGACGCTCAACCCACTGAGCCACCCAGGTGCCCCCCCGCAGCTGATTTAATGTTCATCTTTACTGTCTGTTTCTCCTTCCAGAATGTCAGCTTCCCAGAGCAGGGCTCAGAGCTTCGGCTCCAAGGTCCGGCTCAAGAAGCATCTGAGTGAATGAATGAACGAATCTGTGTTCTCTTTCTCCTGCTTGGGAAAAGCCATGCTCCAAGGAGGCTTTGTTATCTGTCTGCAAATACCTCCTCGGGGCCAGCCCTGAATGTCAGAATGACTTCATCTACTATGGATGTGATAATGATCATAAAAATATGATAACTGCACAACTATTAAATGAATGTCCGCTCGGTGCAAAGCCCTGTGCTACATCTCGTACACATCTCCCACTTGTAGCAGCTAGAGAACACCAGTGAAAACCATCTTCATATCCCAAACTGGGAACACCCAGCGAGGAAGGGCAGGAACCGCATCCACCGCGGTGAGGCCAGCTCGCGCACCTGCACCCTCAGCCTCACCACTCCGTTTAGAAGGACGGGGCCCCAGCCACAGACTGCACTTGCTCCCTGGTCAGACAGAAGCCTCGGCACCTCGTCCGCCGCCAAATTCTCGGTTCACCGCTTCTGGGAAGACAGAGGACATGAGGCGATGCGCTTTTGTAAACCCCCGAAGCAGCCCATATGGGTCTCCAGCGTGGAAAGCCAGGAAGCAGCCAGTCTGGCACAGAACGCACACCCACCAGAGGTATGTCTCCAAGTTTCTTATCATTTGTCAGACTGAAGTTTGGCAGGATCTGAATTGAGCTGCAGATGGCGAGGCTTATCAAAGGCAGCGAAGTTAGGGCCATGGTGTATGAGATTTGTCCCGCGCGTGATACGAAGGAAGAAAAGAGTATCAGGGAACAAGGCTGGGGGCACCACTGTGACCGTGCCCATGGCCCACACCGTCTCCCTGCTCCCTTGAAAAGCAGGGCGGGGGGAGGGAGGCAGGAGAGGGGAAGGTAGAGACAGAAAAAGAGGGGGGCGTGGGCAGCATCTAGCTCCTTTCTAGGCCAGCTAGACGTGGGCCATTTTGGTATAACTGGGACACGACTGTATTAAGAGCCACTAGCTCTAGCCTCCTGCTTACACCCCATGCCAGCTCCAAATCCCACAATCTCGCCCCCTCCCACAGTCCCTGGGCTCCAGCCACAACGAACTACTCAAATTCCCAAGCCCGGCAGGCTCTCTGGTAGGCGCCGGAATGTCCTCACCAGGCCTGCGAAGCCCTAGTCAATCCAACTCCACTACCTCTCGATCCCACCCCTCCCACCCTCCTCTACTCTCTCTGCCCCATCAGCCTGGCCTCCTTGTTTGCTCGGGCCCCCCATACCAAGCACGCCCATCCTTCAAGGCTTTTGTACATCTAGTCTCTTCCTGAAGCTCCCTCCTGCCCTTCATCCGGGTCTGTCACAGCCCCCTGCCCCTCGGAGGCCCTCCTAGGTGGCCACACAAAAGCCTGCGTCCCCATCCCTTTCGGACCTCTCACTTCCTTTATCTCGTAGCATTTATCTACACCCGGGCCACTTCGATATTTTCTTTCTGTAGCTGTTTATTGTCTTCCTTCCTCCACTGAGGTCTAACTCCACGGAGGACTGGGTTTTGTCTGCTGCTGTGCCCTCAGGGCTTAGGACAGCGCCCCGGACAGCGTGGGTGTGCAGAAGCATTTGCAGAGTGAGTTGTCACACTGCGGCCGCTGCCCCCGGCTCTTCCCTGGCGCTGCCCGTTCCTTCAGGGCGGGATCCTGCTGGCTTTCCTACTTCCACTCCCACGCCACCACTGGGCCCCTAGCTTTGACCTTGTCATCTGGGTGTATTCCTGCCTGAAACGGGCACCCAGCTCCCTGTCTGGCCTCTGCTCTCTGCAATCCCCACTGCTCTGAGGGAGGTGTGCTCCAGAGCCCAAGGAGGGGCGCGGAACATGGCACACGATTCGCAGAAGGATAAGAGAGCCCTTTGCTTCCTCCCTCCAAACCCGGCAAGTTTCCCAGAAAAGAAAACGTGGCCTTGCCCTCCTGCCTGCCCACAGCTGCGCCTGGAAAGGGGTGCTCAGCTGGTCTGGCGTCCCTGACTCCAGAGCCCCGGCTCCCTTTCCTGTATTCCGGGCATGGCAAACTCTTGCCTACCAACTATTTTTGTGCGCCTGCAAGCTAGGAATGGTTTTCACATTTTGCAAGGGTTGATTAAAAAAAAAAATCACAGGAGGGCTATG